GGAGCACTCTCCCACATCTCTTTGCACAGCTGGCTCCATCTCCTTCAGTCTCTGCCCAGAGACACCTTCCCTGACCATGCTGTCTAACCAGCCACCTTACACTCTTAAAACTGCTTCCATTTCTTCTGAGACTTAGCACTACCTGAAATTTTGCTATTTGTTTATTAACTGCCCTCCTATAGGCTATAAGTCCCATGAAGGCAAAGGCCTATCTGTCTACTTTAGTGCTGTATCTCCAGCACCTACGTCACACCCACAGTAGACACTCAACAAATATTTGTTGAGCCACTTTGCAGATTTGTCATTTGTTTCTGAAGCCCACATCCATTGAGTAGGATGTTGGGGAAGGGGATGGAGAGGGAAGAGCATCACACAAGACATAAGGTGGAAGACAGCTGGTCCCAAAGCCCCCGTGAGATAAAAGGCTGACTCTAAGATTTAAGTTAGGGGCTGGACTCCTGGTCCCAGCTGTGACTTGGCTGTGTGTTGATTCAACCACTGGCTTTTCCAGTTTTATGAGAACCCATCCCACCAAGTGGCACTTCTGCCTGCTACCAGCAGATGGGGCAGTGTCATTAAAAAAAAGCACAGTCTGCAGTTTCTAACCTGTCTCCCAACTCGACTTTGCCGATTTCTGTTCTGGAACTGCCCGTATCTGTTCTGGAACAGACACGTATCTGGTGTCTCAGATATGTGGTGTGGGCTCACGAACGGTGATGCCAGCTTTCTCAGCTGAAGAAACGCAGCCTCAGTTGCGACGTGCGCTTTCAGCGGGGGTGGCCAGCTTCTCCACAAGGTGAGGCAGGCCCTGGAGGCTGGCCCACGCTACGAGGAGACACCTAGTTGTCCTCCTGGGTCTTTGAGCACAGGCGCAGAACATGACTCACACACTGGGGTGTTCACATTTGCCTAGAAACTTTCTGTTCTCCCAAGGTTGAAAACACGCTTATTAAGAAGGCAGTCAGGGTGTGACATAGACCCGTCGACAGGAGCAGCTCTGTGGTCCTGTGTCTGGGACTGGCCCCCTGGCTGCGGCTGAAAAGCCTGGCCTGCGAGTGGACTCCTTCTCCCTGCCACCGTGGTCCACTGCATTCCCTGCCACCACGTGAAGTGCACGGGGTGGGGTGGGGGGATGGAGAAGGGGGGGTGCCTCTTGCAGAGGCTGAGACCAGCCTTAGCTCGCACCACCGCTCCCTCTTCCTCCTCCCCAAACCTGTCTGATCCTTGGACCTCTGCACCATTTGGGAATGTTACCTGCTTGAACATGATGTCTGCTTTTGTAGAATTTAAACTTCAAGATTATGAACCAGCTAAAGGTCATATAGCACAGGTTAATTTGGTGTGTTTTTACCAAAATTTTTTGTTCTTTGGAGCATGTACTACTTCATTGCCACTGCAAGATATTCCAGAAATTTGAGCAGAAGAGGAATTAATGTTGGCTTAAATGGCTTGTTATAGTCCTAACTGGCTTATGCCAACACCATATCTGGTAACCCTCCATGAACCCATCAGTGCTGCTGAGGAGTCAGGCATTGAGGCTCTGCTTGAAGGACACCATGGGGCCAGTCAGCTGTGAAAAGGCCATTCCTTCCCTCAGAGACTAGGAGGGCCCAAAAAGCATGTCAGGAAACCTTCTTCTTTTATGTTACAATCATTAACTTCTTTCCTAATCTGTACATGTGCATGCATTTTCATGCTTCTATAATTATGCTGTTCTTTATACCTGAAAGTCCTTCAGTCCTTTCCTGTTTAGAGAAATCCTTTTCATCCTTCTCATGTTACCACCTCCATGAAGCCTTTTCTGATTTCTCGTTACAATGAAACTTTTCTTCTTCCAGCTTCTCATAGTACTGTGGGTCTTTCCATAGCATTTAATCCACTCTGTCTTCTCATTCCTGTGTGTGTCATTCATAAATTCAACAGACATTTATTGAGTGCCTGTTTGTAGGATACAGGATAATTCCACAGAGCATACATTCCAGCAGAAGCCCAGAGTTGGGTGGAGTCCACATCGTTCATTGGACTGGGAGCTTCCTGGAGACAGGAATCGGGTTTTCCCCTAGCTCAGGACCTGGCGCCAAAAGGTACTCAGAAAAGTTAGCTAAATTGAAACTTACCACCAATGACTCTGTGAAAATTGGGTTATAGACCAAAGGAATGTTAAAAGTTGGAGGTAGAGTGCCAGGGAATTTCTAGGAGCAGCTATTCTAAAATGAGGACTTGGCATGGAAGCCACAGACATCCAAGATTCCCAGAGGACTGGGCCTGCGGGGAGGGACCACAGTCCTCCTCCAGGACGTACCTGGGAATTAATGCAGGATCATCTGGAGATTTATTACACATTCCAGCTAGGAGTCTTTTTGCTTTGACTGAGCAGACCATAGAGGCAAGTATGTTGTTTCAAGGGCTGGAAATGAGTTACTAGTCAAAGGTCAAGATGGTCAGATGACTAAAACTACATTGTCCATTTGGCACCTGAGAATAGCATGATTAATGCATTATCACTCCCATTTGAGGGTGGCCAGGCATTATTGGACAATCAACTTAAAAATGTCATTTAAATTTTTACTAGGAATTCTCATCCAAGATGTATCTGTGATATAATAAAACTTAATGACTGGTTTGCCAGAGTAAACTGAGTTCTAACCACACACATACATTACTTAGAAATGTATATATCTCAGAAAACTGCTCTATGCTGAGGCTTGATGGCAGGAGTGGGGATTGCTGGGGGTTAGCGGTAGAAGTACCTTATTTATTGACAATATACTATACTGTTCACTCCAGTCACCTTACCATTCACCTGACTTCACTGCTGCTTACCTGTGGATAATGGTTTCAGAATGGCAGGAGTGGGGATTGCTGGGGGTTAGCGGTAGAAGTACCTTATTTATTGACAATATACCATACTGTTCACTCCAGTCACCTTACCATTCACTTGACTTCACTGCTGCTTACCTGTGGATAATGGTTTCAGGTAGTGAAAAGTACATCTTGGTGTTTTCTTTGCCTCTCGCTGTTTCTTTAATAGAATAAAATCCTGAAAATAACAATATTAAACAGCACCCAGTCATTCTCAGAGAGCTGTCACACAAGGAAAAAAACCCACTATTTCCTCAAACTTTTTACACATGAAATTGTAGTCTACAATCTCATCTTCCACAACCTCCCCCAGAAGTTTCGATCTAGACATACATTTATTCAGTGAGTTGCAATTCAGCCTGGGGGTGGAGTGTCAGAGTACAAGTTCCTTTTGCTGCGGGGGTAACCCTAGGTCTTGGTGATTTCTGCAGATAAAAGAGATGCTGGTAAATTTAGGATGTAATTGTCGGATTGGACATGTCTCTGCCCTCCCGCGACCAATGGCTGCAACCCGGTCCCTTTAAGAGACCAGGAATCCGCCAGGCGTCCGAGCCCGAAGCGGATCCTCTTCTCCGCTGCTCCCCCGTCCCCGCGCGGCGAATGGTTCGCGCCGGCCTATATTTACCCGGGATCTTCCTCCCGGACTGCAAGGATGTGAGGTGGGCGAGTCGGGCGGCGCTCGCGGTACCGGAGAGGGCGCGCTGCAAGGCGGGCAGCCGACCAAGGAGAGCCCGAGATCGGACTCGGACACCCCCGGGAGGAAGAAATGAGGTAGCGGCGGTCCCCGGAGCCAACCATGCGCGCGCCCCGCCCTCGGAGCCCAGCGCTGCCCTGGCCAAGCCGGCCCGGACAGTGAGCTGGCCGAGCGCGAGCCCCCGGCGTCCGGCCAGAGCGAAGATGCAGTGAGCCACGGCGGGACAGCTGCGCGGGGCCCCCGCCGCCAGCCGGACCCTCCATCGGACCGCACTTGGGGCGAGCTGCTGATTCTGGGACCTGCCCCGCCGAGGGGCTGTCGATCTCCAGCTCCTCTGAGGGGTGGGGAGCACTGGCCCCTGGGCACATTCGCTGTAGAGTTTCCGCGGCGTCTGGCCCCAGCCCCGGGCGTTGTGTGTGTGTCGGAGTGCCCTTTTCACGTTCGCCGAGGAGTCCCTGCATATTCTCGCACCATCCCGGGTGCTTTTGCTGGGCTCCCTCTATTTATTTGGGGGCGCACATCTAGCTATTTTCTAAGACGTTTTCCGCTCCACTCGCGTTCCCTCTTTCTCTCATTTTGTTGCTTGCGGGAGACTGTGCCCTCATCCTTGCCCGGGCTGGGGTAATTCTGTGTGCGCGCGTGCCACCCCTCCCTTCTTTCTTTCTTTTCTTTTCTTTTCTTTCTTTTTTTTTTGCAAACTCCAAGCTGAATAATTTCTTTTTTAAAAATTCTATCCCCACTTTCTGCGGGGTTCCCAAGTACTATCTCTCCTCCCTTCTCCCTTTCTTCCCCCGCCTCCAGCCTC